AGTCTGCCATACCAGAGCTTGCTCACGTCATGCCAACACCCCAAGAGATTCTTCTCAACATTGAAGAGCTTCGTTGCAAGATGGCCGCCACACAAGAGTCTCTTCACAAAATGGCTGCCCTTCTAGAGTCTCGTCACGTCTCAACTGATCTTCTAGAGTCTCGTCACGACATGGCCGCCATTTCAGAGCCTCGTCCCATCATGGCCGCCATTTCAGAGTCTGCTCACATCGAGCCTGCTACCCCGGCCAATATGGCCGCCACGCCTGAGTCCCCGGCCAAGATGGCCGTCACACCTGAGCCTCGCCTCGCCATGGCCTTCACATCAGAGCCTCGTCACGCCACGACTGCCAAGCAAGTTTCCCCTAAGGATTTTTTTTGGGGGGGCGGGGTGCTATAGTACCCAAGCTCCTGCGGATGCGGAGCTTGGACCAGGACTTAGAAGACTGATTGCTAGTGTGATGGACTCACCACTGATGTCAGTGAGAGCTGCAGGTATCCCGGTGAGGTCAGCACTCTCAAGCCCTGCCATCTTAGAGGTCCTGCCACCCTCTGCTGCCCTTACTGTAATGGTGGTGGCCATTTTGAGTGTGGGGGCCTCTTCTGTCCACGAGTCTGCTCCAGGGGCCTCTTCTGTCCATGAGTCTGCTCCAGAGGCCTCTTCTGTCCACGAACCTGCTCCAGTGCCTTTAGAGGTGGCGGCATCCACTGCAGAACCTCCAGAGGTGGCGGTGTCTGCTTCTGAACTCTTTGCCTGTCCTGTTATGGCCAAGGAGGCCGTTCATGAACTCACTGTCTATCCTGTCACAGCCATGGAGGCCACTCATGAACTCACTGTCTGTCATGTTGCAGCTATGGAAGCTGCTCAAGAACTCTCTGCCTGTTCTATCACGGTCAAGTGGTCTGTCCACGTCTCTGCTCTGCCATGGCTTCCTTCTCTGCCGGCACCACACCTGCTCCAGTGCCTTTAGAGGTGGCGGCATCCACTGCAGAACCTCCAGAGGTGGCGGTGTCTACTTCTGAACTCTTTGCCTGTCCTGTTATGGCCAAGGAGGCCGTTCATGAACTCACTGTCTATCCTGTCACAGCCATGGAGGCCACTCATGAACTCACTGTCTGTCCCGTTACGGCCAAGGAGGCCACTCATGAACTCACAGTCTGTCCTGCCACCGCCATGGAG